GGCACGCGCGGAAGCGCCTCGGGGGGCGGCTCTGGAGCGGCCCGGCAAGCATTCCGTGCGAGCCTGCACGAGCGGAAGCGCCTTCGGGGTGGTCCGACAAGCGCTCCGCGCAAGCCGTCGCGACGCGAATCCGATGTGTTTTACGAGGGATCGCGGCATCGGCAGGCCCGAAATCCTGCCGTCGCGACGCGAATCCCACGTGTTTTACGAGAGATCGTAGCAAAGCCGACTGGCGGGAACCAATTGGTACCGCCGCGAGGTCCGCAGACGCTAATACGTTGTGTAAACTGCAAGCCACGGGCGGTGCAACGTCAGTAGCCCGTGGCGCCTGGCCGAGCGCTCAGCGAGCCTGCCCATGCAGTGTGCGCCGCACCGACGAAGCGGCGATAGCCGCTGAGGAGGAATTCGCACGCCGCGCGGTGCATCCCCGTGGTGTTCTCCTAAGAAAAGGAACCCCTAACCCTCAGCCGCAGCCTGCGGGTTCGCCGCGGTCCGCTACGTCCCCTGGGGCTCCAAACCTATGAAAATACAGCATGCGGCGCTCCCTGGGTGCTCCAAACCTATGAAATTACAGCATGCGGCGCTCCACGCGCTTCCAGACGCTCCAGGCGCTCCCAGGGACTTTCCAAGCTTTCCACGCTCCCAAGCGCGTTCCCAAGCGTTCCCAGGCGCTCCCAGGCGCCCCCAGGCGCTCCCAGGCGCTCCCAAGCGCTCCCAAGCGTTCCCAGGCGCTTCCAAGCTTCCCCAGGCGCTCCCGGCACGCTCCCAAGCGCTCCACGGCGCTTCAGGCGCTCCCGGCACGCTCCCAGGCGCTCTCGGCATTGGGAACGCGCTGGCTGCGCTCCCAGGCGCTCCCAGGCGCTCCCAAGCGCTCCCAGCACGCCCCCAGGCGCTACCAAGCGCTCGCAGGCGCTCAAGCGCTCCCGGCACGCTCCTGGCGCGCTCCCAGGCGCTCGCAGGCGCTCCCCAGCGTTCCCAGCGCTGCCACAACTCCGAAGCGCTTCTAAGCGCTCCCCGGCGCTCCCAGGTGCTTCCAGGCGCCCAAGCATCCCCACGCGCTCTTATGCACCCACAAGCGCTCCAAGGCGCCATGCGGCGCTCCCATGCTCCCGCGCGCTCCCAAGCGCGCCCAGGCGGTTCCAGGCGGTCCCAGGGCTCTTGGGGGAAGCTCCAGGCGCTCTCCCAGCGCTGCCAGAGGGTCCCCCCAAGGCATTCCACGGGCTCTGCCATGGAGGTGCTGCCACAGCCATGCGCGCGCATCGTAGCGAGGGGGTGCCAGACCCACCCCCTCGCGCTCCCCCTCCAGCCGTCCGAAGCTCGCGCCGAAGGCGGCTGCGTCGATGATTGCAATCGCTTCAGCGGGGGGGCGACCCCAAAGGCGAAACCCAAAGCCGCGGGCGAATGTAACTGCCGTGCGCGTCGCCGTCAGCGAGGAGCCCGAGGGCGCAGCCACTCGCTCCAGGCCCACGGGAAACCATGGGATTGCCGCGCCAGCGCCTTCGCAATGCTGCTTTCCAATGCCGAAGGCAAATGCCGGACCCGTGTGGAACTGCTGCGCCATCGGCAGCCCACCGGCGAAGCTCCGCGCCGAAGGTGCAAACGGCTGCCTCCTCGACGAGGCGACCTGACGCGCCAGCGCCATGCACCATGCGCGCGTGCTCGCATCGGCGCGCGTTGCTACGGCCGCGGCCGCACGCGCGCATCCCAGCATTTACAGCCCAGTGTCACAACCCAGTGCCGAAGGCAAAGGCGGCAACGCATGGACATGCTGCGCCAGCGGCAGCCCAACGGCGAAGCTCAACGCCGAAATCGCCAAAGGCTGCCTCTTCGACGGGGCGACGAGCCGACGCGCCTACGTCACGCGCCCTGCGCGCATGTTCAAGTGGATGCGCAATGCTACGGCCGCGTCGGCGATCGCCTGCGCGCGCCACTTCGACAGCCCCCCGTGATAGGGGGGTTTGGGGGAGAAACCCTAAACCCTAAAAGGCTTCACTCTGGGTGGTCTGGGGCGGGAGTGCGACTAACCGTGGCGCGCGCGGCCTGGGCAGCGATCCCCCCCAACAACCTTGATGCGGGGGGGATCGCAGCCAGCGCGCGCTTTCTCTAATGCAGGCCCTAAACCCTAAACCCTAAGCCCTGACCCCTAACCCTAACCCTAAACCATAAACCTCGCTCGCCTCGCGCGCAGACTGTTGGACGTAGGGGCCGTCGGGGGCGGGACTCTGAAAGCTTTGCGGGTGTGCGGGCGGGCCCGCCCGCACACCCGCAAAGCTTTCAGAGTCCTGCCCCCGACGGCCCCTACGTCCAACAGTCCGCGCGCTCGGCTCGCTCGCACCGGACCCCTGCGGAAAGGGGGGGAGGGGGGGGGGGGGTTCCGACCCCCCCCCCCCCTTCAAGGGGGGGGGGGGGGGGGGGGGGGGGAGGGGTTCCGACCCCCCCCCCCCCTTTCATCACCACCCACCAAACCACCCCAACCCAACCCGAAGGCTCAGATTTGCCCTCGATTTCTAGTGGGGGGGGGTCGGGAAACATCGAAAAAACACATGTGGAAACCTTTACCCCCCCCAACCCGAAATTCGGGTCTTCGGGTTGGGTTGGGGTGGTCTGGTAGGCAGTCATTTCAAAGGGGGGGGGGGGGGAGGGTTCGACCCCCCCCCCCCCCTCAAAGGGGGGGAGGGGGGGGGGGGGGTTCTCGGACCCCCCCCCCCCCTTAAGGGGGGGAGGGGGGGGGGGTTCCCTGGAGCACCCCCCCCCTTTTGTGTCTTCCAGGTGATCCACTGGCGCTCTTTCATTGATTTAGGTGTACGGGGGGGCACCATGGTCAGGATAGTCGAGAACCGCCGCGTGGCAGGCGCCTAGTCTGTTTATTCTTCTTCGCCGAATTGCTTCTCTTTCCACGGTTGCGGCGCCTGCCAGGTGGCCTGATTGTGCCTCTACGTCAAGTCGGCTTGGACTTGTGCATTAAATTCTTATGCAAACGCAACAGCTTTTCAGCTCGTGCCAGTCTAACGTTAAAAAAGAGGAGGGGGAGGAGACGGACCAGCAGCAAGAGGAAGGCAGAGGTGGCCGAATGGGGAGCCCCCCCCACCCAGAGGGCGCCAAGGCGACCCCGAGACGGGCCCCAAGACCCGTCCAGGTCACCCGCGGGGGCGCGAAGATGACCGCACCTCGCTAAGCCGCGGCCCGAGCCCAGAGACGCGCTAAAGCTCCAGGTCGACGGCGCGAGGGCGCGAAGGCAGCCGCGCGCCGCGAAACCGTGGCGCGCGACCCGCGAAGCTGGGTGACCCAGAAGACGCGGGAAGGCTGGGCGCGCTGTCCTTTCCTCGTCGTCGTCGTCGTCGTTGTCGTCGCCGTTGTCGTTGTCGTTGTCGTCGTCGTCGTCGTTGAATACTCACTTTTCAAAAAAAACTAATTATGGTTGCTCCATGGAAACGGTTCCGCGCGTTCTCGCCTCGACGCCGGCTGCAATGCCTCTGAAAACGAGGCTGCCGGCCGAGCGCGGGCTTGATTGTAAATCCGTGCCCTTGGAGGCCCAGCTGCAACGACAACGGCTCCCGCTCGACATTTCTTCACAATACACCCTGGCCAGAGAGGCCCCCGAACTCAAAAGTGGCGTTTTCGCTCGAAACTTCCCCGCAAGTCAGTCAAGTTGGCGGAGGCCCAACCGCGACGACAAGGGCTCCTGCTCGATATTTCCTCACGGTTTCTCAAAGCCCCTGGCCAGGAAGGCCTTCGAACTCAGGAGCGGCGCTCTCTCGCTCGAGCCTTTTTCGTGATTCAGTCGTATTGGTGGAGGCCCAACTCCGACGACAAGGGCTCTCGTTCGATATTCTTTCAATATGTACTCCCAAAGGCCCTGGCCAGAGAGGCCCCCGAACTCAAGGGCGGCGCTCTCGCTCGAGATCTTCTCGTAACTCAGGCAAGTTAGTGGAGGCTCACACACGGCGGCAAGGGTTCCCATTCGATATTTCCCTATCTGTTTTCCGAGAGCCCCTGGCCAGAGGCCCCCGAATTCAGGAACGGCGCTCTCCGCTCGAGAGTTCCCAGCATTTCAGTCAGTGGCCGACAAGGAAGACCCTCCCCCCCGAAGGGGGGTGCGATCGAAGACGAAGTGGGCGGGTATCGAGGGTTGGGTATACGGAATGCAAGTCGCGCGTGCCAGCAAGAGCGAACAGTCTTGAAAGGATCGTCGTCGTCGTCGCCGCCGCCGCCGTCGCCGTCGTGCCACACGGCATGCGATGGTTTCCGTGGGAGCTCGTCGCCACCTGCCCTACAAGGAGCTTGGCCGCTCTCCTGGGCGCGCGGGTCGGGAGCCTTGAGACGGGGGTCAGTGCAAACGGGGGTCAGCCACGGCACCGGATCCTGCAGGATCCTGCGAAGACCCTCTCTGGCTGACCCGGGTTAGCGAGCCGCAAGTCGGTCGCACACATTGGCTGACCCGGGTTTGCGAAGACCTGCGGTGCAGTTTTTTTTGCTTGCATTGCATTTTTGGGTTTCTTGCTGACCCGGGTCTGGATTGACCCGGGCCAGAAGATCCCCGAGCGGGGTCCTGGCCTCGGACCGCCGCCGCCGTCGTGCCACATGGCATGCGATGGTTTCCGTGGGAGCTCGTCGCCACCTGCCCGACAAGGAGCTTGGCCTCGCTCGGACGTGTGCACTTCTCCTTCGGCGAGGACCATCGAGGAGCATACCTGATCCTTTGGCGAAAAAAAACACGCACGAAACCGAAAACAAGCACAGGGACTGGACGTCGGAGCGATGGCGAGAGGAGCTCGGCCGACTGCGATACATAGTTTCCGTGGGAGGAGGGGGAGGAGGAGGAGGAGGGGGAGGAGGAGGAGGAGGAGGAGGAGGAGGAGGAGGAGGAGGAGGAGAGGAGGAGGAGGAGGAGGGCGCGGCCTGGACCGGCCCCGGCGCGGGCGCGCGCCGCGCCTCCCCCGCCCCCCCCGCGCCGCCAGGGGCGGCCTCCGCGGCGCGGCCCGGGGCCGGCGGCGCTGCAGGCGGGCGCGCGGCGGCCGAGGCGCCCCGCGGGCGGAGGGGGGGATCGGGGGTGGACAGAACCCCCAGCAGTGACACGTCGATTAGTGAGTTGTCCGTTTTCGGTTCTCGAGAGGGCGCCGTGGCCGTTATCTTCCAGGCTTGCGCCCGCCAGGTTGGGGCCCGAGGTCGTTCTCACTAAACCACGTTTTACCAAAGGGAGGTCCGTCCATCCCCGAGGGGAGCGGCGTCGCGCTTTGGCTCGGCGTGGCCCCCAGCATGCTGGATTTGTGGAGGACGACAGGTGTCGGAAGCAATTAAGCAACACTCATGCAGAACATATGGTTTGAACCTCCCCGCCTCCCCCCAAACTGCAATGCTGGTGTCGGATCTCCCGATGTTGGGCCTCCGAGCGGCCTTGCGAAGACCTGTCGACTTGGAATTGCGGGGGAGGGGGGGAGTGTTGCTTAACTGTTTCCCTCAACCGGACCAATGGAGGGGAAGCATGTTGCCAAATAGTTCCCAGTTGTCTTAAGACATGTGTTAAACATGCTTTAAAAAGGTTTAAACAAACATGTATAAAGCATGTGTCGAATATTTTCCTACATGTTAAACACCTTTTAAATTCAATGATCCGACTGTTAGGGTGTCCACTGTCGTGGCATCCACAATGCCAGATACTCTGTGCGCGTCGCCCCCCTCAGGGGCGACGCGCGCACCGAGAAATCTCATAGCGTATGCGTCGTGCCGGGCGCTTTCTGGCCACGCCGCTCGGGAAACGCGCGCGTCGGTGTACTATATGTTCGGGTCGGACGCGCGCCTCCCAGGAGAACATCTAGTGCTAGCATGTCTTTGTGCGTCCCATGGGGGGGAGCGGCGCCGCCCTTGGCGGCGAGGCAGAGGGGCCGCAGAAGGCACGCGCCAACCACCTCGAAGAGCAAACGGCGGCACGAGCACGATTCCTCGGTGGGCCGCGCGGAGTTTCCGCATCGGTGCCATGGCCCCACCGGCGGCGAAACCAGCGCCGCCCCCGGCGCGCTCCGCGCGCCAGGGAGGGGGAGTCGGTGCCGATCCAACAAACTTCCGCGCGGGCCTCCGAGCAGTTACGTTTATGCCGTGGTTTGAGCCCTCCGCACTCGTTCTTGCTCTCTTGCCGCTGCTCTCTCCCGTCCTCGCTTCCGCTCCCCGTGATTCGTCTTCTCTGGTTTGCAGTACGGCGTTGGTCAAGTCGATGCTCCTTGGCTGGGGGGGGGGGGAATGTCGATGGGAAGCGTACAGTCGGGGCCCTGAAGAAGGAACCCTTTTCGTTGGGGAGGGGCTCCGTGTTCCTTGACTGCTTCAAAGTTTGCCTCGGGTTTTTCTGAGGCTTTTCATGGGAAAAAGGGGCCTCGTTCCTTATTTAGGGTTCCTTAGGTCAACGCCCCGACTGTACGGCGCTGAACAAGTCGATGTTCCTTGGCTGGGGGGGGGGGAATGCCGATTGGAAGCGTATTTCGCCACGTGGTGTTTCTGAGCGCTGCGGCGCTGCCCGGCCCACTCCGCCATGGAGCGCGCCTTAGGCGCGATGCGGGTGTCCTGCCCTGTCCCGTCCTCTGCCGCTTCCTCCCGCCTTGCCTCGCTCCCTCAAAATTCAGCGAGCGAAGAACGGTATAAAATAAACTTTTTCGCTGTCGGGGGCGCCTGTCCCTGGGCGGCTGGAAAGTTTATACCCTACAAACTTTCCAGCCGCCCTGGGACAGGCGCCCCCGACAGCGAAAAAGTGTATTTTATACCGTTATTCGCCCGTGAATCAATCTCGTTTCCTCTCGCCTCGGGACGGACACGGCATGGCGGCCGCGCCCGACGCGCGTTCGATCGAGCTTGTTACCAGGGCAGGCCTTGTCCACAGATCCGTCTTGACAACCTCAACGACGATTATTTCTGCGCGGTCGCGTCTCCTCTGCACGTAGGGGAGGAAGAGGAGGAGCAGGAGGAGGAGGAGGAGCAGGAGGAGAAAGACGGAGAGGAAGGAATGATGGTCATGATGAGGAGGAGTAGCAGGAGGACGGGGCCTCATTGGCGATCATGCGACACATTGGCTGGTTCCCCAGTCAATCCCACACTGGAGGGCGTTAGGAGTTGGCTCACACAGTGCGATCTACAGTTTTGTACTGTCCTTGGATGGGAACACGCGCCGCGACTCGTGCTCATCCCGAGCATGTGTCAGCGAAGCTGTGAAAGAGCGCGCCCGTGGAACTCTCCTTACTAAAAGGGGGAGTCCCTGCTCAAAGCTACCCCCCCCTCTCTTGGAAAAGGGTGGGACCTTCCAACGCTACCCCCCCTCCCCCCCTTTTGTGGGCATGTCTTCGCTGATGGGGGCCCTGGCTACAAGGGGGTGGGCTTGGAAGTTGCCCCCCTCCTCTTGGGGTCAGCCCGAGCTCCTTTTTGCAAAGGGAGGGAGGCTTCCAGCTACCCCCCTTCCCCTTTCCCCGTTTGTTTGGATTCTGTAATTGGGGGGTCCTTGGCTAAAGGGGGGCGGGGGTGGAAGCGACCCCCTCCTCCCTGTTCGGGGCCTGGGGCAAGCTCGGGCTCCCCTTTCCAAGGAGGGGGGGCTTCCGAAGCTACCCCCCCTTCCCCTACTTGGCATTTCCAGCTGGAGCGCCCAGGCTGAAGGGGGGGGCTTCGAAGCTACCTTTCCCATTTGGTTTTCGGCACCACTTTGCTTTTCTGCGCCCCTTTGGTTGTCGGCGCTCCTTTGGTTTTCGGAGCCCCTTTTGTTTTCGGCGGCCCTTTGGTGTTCGGCGCTTCTCTCGTTTTCTGCGCCCTTATGGTGCTCGGCGCCCTTTTTGTGTTCGGCTCTCCTTTAATTTGTCGGCGCCCCTTTTGGTTTCCTGCGCACCTTTTGGTTTTCGGCGCATCGTTGGTTTTCGGCTCTCTTTTGGTTTTCGGCGCCCCTTTTGGTTTTCGACGCGCCTTTGATTTTCGACGCCCTACTTGTTTTCGGCACCCTTTGGGTTTTCGAAGCCCCTTTTGTTTTCGGCGCCCCTTTTGTTTTTCGGCGCCACTTTTTGTGTTTGGCGCCCCTTTTGGCTTTCGGCACCCTTTTGGTTTCCCGCGCTCCTTCGGTTTTCGGCGCGGCGCTCCCTTAGTGTTCGGCGCTCCTTTGGTTTTCCGCATCCCTTGTTAGGTTTCCGCGCCCCTAGGGTTTTCGGCGCCCCTTCGGTTTCCACGCTTTTTTGGCGCCTCTGTGGTTCTCGGCGTCTCTTGGTTTTCGGCGGTACTTTGGTTTTCGGCGCCCTTCTGGTTTCGGCGCCTCTTTGGTTTTCGGCGCCCTTTTGGTTGTCTGCGCTCCTTCGGTTTTTGGCGCTCCTTTGGGTTTTCGGCGCTCCTTTGGTTTTCGACGCCATTTGGTTTTCGGTGCATTTTCTGTTTTCGGCGCCCTTTTGGTTTTCGGCGCCCCTTTGGTTTCTGTGCCCTCTCTTCGGCGCCCATTTGGTTTTTGGCGCCCGTTTTTGTTTTTCAGCGCCCCTTTTGCTTTTCGGCGCTCCTTTGGTTTTCGGCGTCCCTTTGGTTTCCGGCGCCGTCTTGGTTTTTGTTTCGTTTTTTTTTCGGCACCTTGTTTTGTTTTCGGCGCGCTTTCGGTTTTCGGGACCCCTTTGGTTTTCGGCTCCCTAATTGTTGTCGGCGCATCGCTGGTTTTCGGCACTCCTTTTGGTGTTCGGCGCTTCTTTGGTTTTCGGCGTCCTTTTGGTTCTCTGTGCCCCTTGGGTTTTCGGCGCCCGTATTTTTGTTCGGGCCCTATTTGGATTTTGGCATTTTTTTGCTGTTCGGCGCGGCTGTGGTTGTTCGGCGCTCTTTTGGTTTTCGGCGCCTTTTTTGTTTTCGGCTCCTTTTGGTGTTCGGCGCCTCTTTAGTTTTCGGAGCCTCTTTGGTTTTCGGTGCCCCTTTGGTTTTCGGCGCCCCTTTGGTGTGCGGCGCCCGTTTGGTTTTCGGCACCTTTTCGGTGTTCGGCGCCTCTTTTGGTGTTCGGCGATCCTCTTTGTGTTCGGCGCCTTTGTGTTTCGGAGCCCTCTTTGGTGTTCGGCGCCCTTTTGGTTTTCGGCGCTCCTTTTTGTGTTCGGCGCCTTCGTGTTTCGGAGCTTTCTTTGGTTTTCGGCGCCCTTTGGTTTTCGGCGCCACTGTGGTTTTTGGCGTCTCGTTGGTTTTCGGCGCTCCGTTGGTTTTTGGCGCCCTTTTGGTTGTCGGCGCCCTTTTGGTTCTCGGCTCTTCTATGGTGTACGGCGCTCCGTTGGTTTTCGGCGTCATTCAGGTTTCCGGCGCCCTTTCGGTCGTTGGCTCCTCTTTGGTGTTCGGCGCGTCTTTGGTGTTCGGCGTCCTTTCGGTGTTCGGTGGCCCTTTGGTTTCGGCGCTCTGTTGGTTTTCTGCGGACGTTTGTTTTCAGCGCCTTTTTTGCCAAAGGAGGGGGCTTCCAAGCCCCCCGCCTCGTTTAGCCAGAAAGTGGGGGATGGGGTGGGGGGGAGACGGGGAGGGCTTCTGGCAGGGGGGTTCAAGGGAGGGGGGCTCCGCTTTGGTTTTCGGTTTCCCTTCGGTGTTCGGCGCATGTTTGATTTTCGGCGCTCCTTGGGTGTTCGGCAATCGTTGGATTGTGTGTGTTTTGTGTTCGGCTCTCCTTCGGTTCTTGTCGCGCCTTTGATGTTTGTCGCCTTTTTGGTTTTCGGCGGCCCTTTGGTTGTCTGCGCCCCTTTGGGTTTCGGCGCCCCTTCTGTTTTTTTCGGCGCCTTGGTGGTTTTCGGCGCCCCTTTTTGTGTTCGGCACCCCTTGAGTTTTCGGTGCCCTTTTTGTTTTCGGAGCCGTAGGGGTTTTCGGCGAGCAGTTGGTGTTCTGCACCGTCGTATTTTTTTCTGCGCTCTTTTGGTTTTCGGCCCATCTGTTTGTTTTCGGCGCCCTTTTAGTTTTCGACGCCCCTGTGGTTTTCGGCGCCTTGTTGGCTGTCGGCGCATCGTTGGTTTTCGGCGTCCTTGTAGGTTTTGGTGCCTCTTTGGTTTTCGGCGCCCTTTGGTTTTC